TTGGCAGATGTTGTTTACGCGATTTTTAGCGCATCCTCATTAATGTGTGAAACAAACTTTAGAGACTACGAATATCTTATTATATGAATATCTTATTATATGAATAAAAGAAGGCTGAGGCTGAAGCCTCAGCTTGCTGAAAAACTAGTGTTTATTTACTCCAATAAGCACATTAAAATGTGATACTGATTTTATCTGTCACTGTTAATTTTTATCTCTCACTGTTAATTTACTATCTTAATAATTCATGTTCCTCTTCGACTACTACCTCAAATAAAATTATGATAATACTAAAGGAACATTGCAAGTACTCCACTAACTTCGGGGGGGGGGGGGGGGGGGGGGGGGGGGGTCCAACCCGATGTCCGATATGAGGGTTGATGAGGCCAAAATCGGAATCGGAAAAATCGGAAAAATCGGAAAATTGAGAAATTTTAGAGAATCGATCTCTAAAACCTCTCAGAAGTGATATAATTCAACCAGAACCCCTACATATGCTATATTGTTATGAGAAAACGAACTAATTGGACATTCCAATAGTATGTTTTATGTGTTTTTCCACTGCAGGGGCTAGTATGCTCACTACTAGTTGGAGTTGTCATGTACTCCCAGACCCGAGTGCTTTGGCCTCTTGACGTGAGATCGATTGTTTCTGCTCATTAATTTTATCCCTGTTACTTGTTATTATGTATTAGTACAACACTAGGTACCGGGTTATATTTTGTGGTCCGGTCTTTAAACATACCATAATATCACTAGTACACTGCACCTTAAATGTATAGTCAAGTACATTTGTATCGCAAATCCTATTGAACGCAAAACGGAGGCCAGATTTTTAGGAGTTATCGTCGACGACAAACTAAACTGGGCCAGCCACATTCGTGCTGTCAAAACAAAAATGTCACGGTTTATATGTGTTATGTTCAAAATAAAACGCAAATTACCAATCAAAGCACGCTTACAGATCTTCCAAAGTTTTGTACAATCTCACTTAAATTTCTGTTCGCTCGTTTGGGGTTTTGCTGCAAAATCTCATATTAACTCACTGTTCACTAAACAAAAACAAGGAATACGAGCAGTTATGCCGGGTTACGTGAATTACTATTACAAAGATGGTAAACTTCCGGATCATACTAAAGCTACGTTTAAAGAGTACGAAATATTAACTGTACACGGGGTAATCATAAAAAATGCTCTGACTCTGATGCACAAGATAAATTACATGCCTGGCCTTCTGCCGTCGTCGATAAAAGACTTATTTCCTCCCGATTTACCAAAGTATGGCACATCTTATGACGACAATATCGACTGGCTAACAACGTACTCTCAACCAGATCTACGCGCTAGTGTTCTGTATAAAGGTCCTATATTAGCTATTACCGAGCACAACATTAGTCGCATAACTTGCCCATCTAGCATTTTCTCAATAAGCATTTATAAGAAATCAGCAAAGCGTGTAATGATAGAACTACAAAGCTCAGGAAACGATGAAGAATGGCCAGCTTTTCTGTTACATAATTTACCCGGGCTACGTAAATCAGCAAGATCAGGCACTCAACAAATCAACTACCGAGAATAACCTAAGGAATAAGTAAAACTAGACGGTTAGCACACCATTAGAACAGCCGACACTTAATAGCAACCTAACATATTATGCAGCTCAACTTTCACTATTATATCCCATCTAAATCACTTATCGTGCCATCCTGACAGCACATTCCATATTTCACTGCCAACTAGCGCAAACCTATACTGATAAAACACCTACGACAGTATTATCAAGTAAAGAATTTTATATAAACGTTTAAGCTTTTAAATGTGTTTGCAGATCAGGGTCATCAGAATCAACTGATAAAATCTAGACGAAATAACTATGAGTTCGATGGCATGTAATTTGCGTGCCCTTCGGGGATTAATATTGATTATTACAATTATTATATATTTTGAGTAAACATTGACTGGTGTAAAAGCCAGCCCCAAACAAATCGTAACACATGCTTGGCTGGGGGATCATGTTTTGTGTCCGTTCGGTACCCTGTATTTTCAAAACGGACAAAAAGTAGGGCGGACAAAAACGGACAAAAACAGACAAAACATTTAGATGTCCTCCTCCTCCTCCTCCTAAGTCTTCCTCCTCCTGAGTCCTTCTCCTCCTCAGTCCTCTTCAGTCCTCTTCCTGACTCCTCGTCCTCGTCCTTCTCCTCAGTCCTCCTCACCTTCCTCCTCAATCCCCTTCTCCTCCTCAGTCCTACTCCCAGTCCTCCTCCTTCTCCTTCTCCTTCTTCTTCTCCTCCTCCTCATCCTCATTTCTCCTCCTGATCCTCCTTCTCCTCCCCATCAGTCCTCCTCATAATCGTCCTCCTCCTCCTGAGTCCTTCTCATCCTCCTCCACCTCCTGAGTCCACCTCCTGAGTCCTCCTCCTGAGTCCTCATCCTCCTCCTCAGTCATCATCCTCTTCCTCCTGAGTCCTCCCCCAGTCCTCCTCCTCCTTCTCCTCCTCATCCTCCTCCTCATCAGTCCTCATCCTCTGTCCTCCTCATAATCGTCCTCGTCCTCGTCCTCGTCCTTAGTCCTCCTCCTCCTTATCCTCCTCCTCAGTCCTCCCCCAGTCCTCATCCTCCTCCTTCTCCTTCTCCTTTTTCTTCTCCTCCTAATCATTCCTCCTCCTCAGTCGTCGTCGTCCTCCTCCTCGTCCTTAGTCCTCGTCCTCTTCAGTATTCCTCCTCAGTCCTCATCCTCATCATCCTCCTCTTCAGTCTTCCTCCTGAGTCCTCCTCCTCGTCCTCCTCCACCTCCTCATTCCCCTCCTTATCCTCCTCCTCTTCAGTCCTCCTCATCCTCCTCCTCGTTCTCCTCCTTATCCTCCTCCTCCTCAGTCCTCCTCCTCATCCTCCTTCTCCTCTTCCTTCTCCTCCTAATCAGTCCTCCTCCTCAGTCGTCCTCCTCCTCTTCATTAGCCCTTGTCCTCATCCTCCTAGTCCTCGTCCTTAGTCCTCGTCCACATCCTCCTCAGTCTTCCTCCTCAGTCCTCCTCGTCCTCATCAGTCTCATCCTCCTCATCCTCCTCCCCAAGTCCTCCTCTTCCTCAGTCCTCCCCCAGTCCTCCTTCTCATCCTCCTCATCCTCTTCAGTCCTCATCTTGTTCCTCCTCAGTCCTCCTCTTCCTCCTACTCGTCAGTCCTCCTCCGCAGTCCTTCTCCTCAGTCCTCCTCCTCCGCAGTCCTTCTCCTCCTCGTCAGTCTTCCTCCTCGCCAGTCCTCCTTCTCCTTCTTCTCCTCCTACTCCTAAGTCCTCCCCCTCCTCCTCCTCAGTCCTCCTCTTCCCTCTCATCCTTTTCCTCCTTCTCCTCCTTCTCCTCCTACTCCTAAGTCATCCTCCTGCTCCTCAGTCCTCCCCCAGTCCTCCTCCTCATCAGTCCTTCCCCAGTCCTCCTTCTCCTCCTCCTCATCCTCAGTCCTCCTCCTCATCATCCTCCTCAGTCCTCCTCCTCCTCAGTCCTCCCTAAGTCCTCCTCTTCCTCAGTCCTCCCCAGTCCTCCTTCTCCTCCTCCTCATCCCCTCAGTCCTCCTCCTCAGTCCTCCTCGTCCTTAGTCCTCCCCCAGTCCTCCTTCTCCTCATCCTCAGTCCTCCTCCTCAGTCCTCGTCCTTCTCCTTTTTAACAGTCCCCCTCCTCAGTCTTCCTCCTCGTCCTCGCTCTCGTCCTCCTCCTTCTCCTCCTTCTCGTCTTCCTCCACCAATCCTGCTCCTTTTCCTCAGTCCTCCCTCTCCTCTTCAGTCCTCTTCCTCCTCAGTCCTTCTCGGTCCTCCTCTTTCTCCTCAGTCTTCCTCCTTCTCCTCCTCCTCCTCAGTTCTCTTCCTCATCCTCCTCCTTCTTCTCTTCCTTCTCCTCCTAATCAGTCCTCCTCCTAATCAGTCCTCCTCCTCAGTCGTCCTCCTCCTCGTCCTTAGTCCTCGTCCTCATCGTCCTTAGTCCTCGTCCTCATCCTCCTAGTCCTCGTCCTTAGTCCTCGTCCTCATCCTCCTAGTGCTCGTCCTGGTCCTCCTCAGTCTTCCTCCTCTGTCCTCCTCAGTCCTCCTTCTCCTCAGTCCTCCTCCTCCTCATCAGTTTACACAATTTATTGTTACTAAAATGTTTTTAAACGCATTTGAGTCTGTAACATATTGACATGTTACTGTTACTGACTCAAAATGTGCTCGAGAATGTTTTTGTTTAATAGAGTTTTACTCTCCAGTACTATGGAAAAGTTGTTACATGATAAATAAAGATTTTGATAAATAAAGTGATTTTCATCCCTTTTAATGTTATTGAAAATTGTGTAGACTATTCTTTGTATCTAACTGAGGATTGGAAGTTTGAGAAAGGACCAGTCATTAACCGTGCTACCCATTTCTGCAGATAGCCTGTTACAAATTGTGGAGACAAATTGTGGAGACAATTTAAATCAAAAGTTACTAAAGCGTTCGCTATTTGTTACGATTGTTATTACCAACCGTACCTCTTTCAATTGTGGACCGGGGTGGATGTTTCTGTCAAACAAGAGTTGATTCGACATTGTGTTGTTTTTCGGACGAAACGATTCTTGTTTGGAACAAGATACCATTTTGGAGTTCTGGGACCACCACCAATCGATTTCTTGTCATATTTAAGTACAGAAATAGCTACCTATATCGCCTAGAAACCTCAGAGGGAAGATTTAAATTTTCCCGATTTTTCCGATATGAGGGTTGATGAGGCCAAAATCGGGATCGGAATGATCGGAATTGATCGGGTTGGACCCCCCCCCCAACTTCGAAAAAAGTTTCATTTTTTTCCCAAAAAAGTCTGTACCCTATAATATAGGGTACAGACTTTTTTGGGAAAAAAATATATAGTATATAATAGGGCCTGTACGGTACGTACCTTTAAAAGTAGCTGTACCGTACGTACTTAAAGCCCTGTACCGTACGTACTTGCCATCTTAGATTCAACTACCGGTAACTAAACTCCATTATTCCTCAGTGAAGGTTGAGCTAGCTGCAGCTCAGCGCAAGATGACTGATGAACTTAAAAAACACAAGGACACCATCGACGCTAAGGATATTGAGCTCAGGAATTGGTTTGTTCAATAATAAAATTGATTAAGTTAATGATTGCCAAGTTCTATTTCATCTTTTAAGATGATCGCGTTCTTGAATATCTCGGTTTTCACGCCAATGTAGATAATTTTATCTATTTAGCGCCTCTCTTAGTGTAATATTGCTAAGATCCAACAAACTTTTATTAGGTACGATGAAAAAGAAAAGGCTGTGAAGATGATATCAAACAAGAAAGAAAAAGAAATATCAGCTCTAGAAAAACTTCTTGAAGATAAAGATATGCTCATCAAGAATTTGGAGCAGAATACTGTCGCTACGGTCGCTGTGGATGTGAGTTAAGAAATTTTATTTTTGTGATTAATGAATCAAACAAGTATGTATTAACTTATTAACTTATAACTAATCTTACCGATTTTAAATTTAATTACTAATACGTCTTAAAAATACAATATCCAGCAGTCCGTCTTAATTACAAAAGTGTAGAACTTACAAACTTATCCCTTCATTTCTCTTCAGCAAGGGGTAATATTTTGAATCAAATCCTTTGAGAATTTCTGAACAATGCAACATGTTCTCAAATTGGTCATAAACCTGCCTCCAATTAACCTACGTTTCATGCTCGTTCATTTGATCACATTTCAATTTTTGAATGATGATAATTTGAATGAATTACATCCTATGTCTTTAGTGCCTGAGCCCGGCGATGGGCTCAGAGGAGTATATACGGTTGAGCGAGGAGAGCAAGAGGAAGTTGACAGAGATGGCAGACATGGTTATACAGATGGAAACTGACCGGGATGAGACCCGGGCGGAGTTTGAGAAATTCAAATCTCAGGTTTGATAATTTGATTTATCTAAAAATTCGAAGTCGAAGCCACATTTTTTTTCATTTTTTCTTCATGAAAAATGGAATTACTGCAAATGAAAAATAAATAATTCCCATTTACTCATTTCGCAGATAGACGAAGCGATATCAGAGAAAGAAACCAAGTTTGCGGAGCTGCGAGCGGAGCTGGCGAGCACAGAAAAACGAAACAAGGAACAGCAAGAAACTGTCTCCACCGCTCTGGCACGAAGCATTGAACTGGAACAAAACGTGTCTGAGTTGAAAAGGGAGATGGAATGTATGGAGACGAAGAGAAGCAAACAAGTGTCCGCTGAACTGGACGAGGTGGGAAGAAACTTTTGGACGTTATTTTTGATTTTCTATCGTTCTTGTGATTTTTAAATTTGGCAATTTTTTGATTATTTATTTGCTATGCTTTTCAAGCTTTAAGAATTTTAAAATCATCATCAATGGTGCGCTTTTCCAGATTTTTAGCATTCTAAGGGCATATCTTCCGCTTCCGATATATAAGCTTCTAATGTCACAGTCTATAAGTTGGGGTTTGGCATGATGAATAAACGTGACATGATTGAGAGATTGGGACTAATGATTAATGAATTTAGAGATACGTGAAATATTTCAGTCCTTGTTACATTACATACAGATTCCCGTGAGAAGAAGCTCACGGTTGCAGGTTAAGGTATTTGTGACCATGTGACTATGTGCACCGACGATTGAATTCTAGATTCTTACCTTTCGTACCTTAGTGTCCTGAAATTCTTACTTCTAAGCATTTAAACATTCTAAACATTTTTCCACTCTTAGCATTGAAATGCACGGGAATCGGTCACGAGGGCGGAGGTCACGAGGGCAAAGGACCCAAGCTCAAGGGCGAAAGTTTCCTAAAAAAAGTTGGACACGAGGGCGAAAGACACAAGGGCGAAAGTCGATCACATGACACAAGGACGGAAGTTTCCTAAAACAATCACATAAATCACTTTATCATGGAAATATACACCGTCCTTAATTGTAAATGTTGAACTAGTAATTAACGGGTGATACTCGTAAAATATCTGTTCCATATATTGACCGTCGACGAGTCCAACTCGGTGCGCGTCCTGGTAGGTTGTAAACCTACAAACTAGTAATACTACAAAACCTGCAACATCACACAACTTACTTCTAATAGAAGGAAGCATTCGACGCCCTCAAAAACCTTGGTTCCTTTTCTCCAGACCGAATCATGGTGGACTTTGAAGGTGCTTGGCCGGATCAATCAGAAATTCCATTAATTTTCAGGACAAATTCTTGAGGGCTAGGTCCTGAAAAAAAATTTTCGGCTCATAATGATCAGAGTAACATGAACATTGAACACTGCAGAAAAGTGGTCTCCAGGAAAAATTAAAAAATTTTTGACTTAGACAATTTTCGGCCAGAGTCATTCTCGATACGTAACTCTAAAGACAGACTCCCCGCTTCCGAGCTCTTATTGCATAGGGGTGGCCTGCCCTCCGAGATTGCATTACAAATGGAAAGCTTCGACTCCAAGATCGTGTATCGAGGCCCGAGGGTGAGGTCTGGACTTCGAAATCAGGATAGGAAACATGAAAACTTATTAATTTTGGAAATATTTTTACATGATTCATGATTACTTTGAGCTTGGAAAGGCAACACGTTTAGTACCATATTAATGATATTTGAAAAATGTATACAAGGCCAAGGGCAAGGGGGAGGGGGATCCTTGTGTTCGAGCTGGAAAATTGTTGAGCGTTCGAAGTTCTCTATAACCATGTGTGTTTTGTGAGTAAAGTTACAAGGAATTCGAAATCAGGATCACTAAAATGATTGAAACATAATTTATACAATTAGAAGTAAGTTCTGTGATGTTGCAGGTTTTGTAGTATTACTAGTCCAAAATTTAGGAGGTGTATATTTCCATGATAAAGTGAGTCATGTGATCGTTTTAGGAAACTTCTGCCCTTGTGTCATGTGATCGACTTTCGCCCTAGTGACCTTCGCCCTCGTGACCTTCGCTCTCGTGACCTCCGCCCTCGTGTCCTACGCCCCCGTGACTTCCGCTATAGTGTCCTATACCCGCTCCGCACGCATGCTGCCATGCCTCTGACTTTTCAGCATGATCGTTATCAATCTACAGTCAAAACTGTTCGTTGGTTTTAAACGTATGCTGCATTTTTAGCTGAAGAATCATGCGAACTGTTAAAGCATTTCAACTGTCGATTATTGCTGATGACGCATCTCTTCAGTGCATTTGCATTGTACACACAATTGTGCGGATTATGCATTTTTCAAAACATTTCCCAACCCAATGTTATTTTTACGTAACATTCGCACAAACGTTCTTAACATTGCATGCGATAAATTAGTCTTTTCAACTCAAAGCTAAAAAGTAAAGATAATTTATGTATAATTTACAGGGAGGCAGAGAATCAACTCAATCCTCGAGAAGTTCCAATAGGATATCAAACAAACCCTCATCTCGAACATCCGCTCTAAATCATTCCAGGTTGGTTCCCTTGTCAATGTGTTCGTGTCAGTCCAGGTGTCTACAAATTAATTACCACTTCAAATTCACTTTTGAAACATTTTGCCAGAATGACTGTTTTAAATTGAGGTTTTGAAGCTGTTTTGAGAAAAAACGGATAAGATAATTTATGTACTTATAATGGAACGATAGGAATGTCAAGAAAATTTGATAGCTATTAAAAATTCGCTTACAATTAACCGGTATATTTTGAGAAATATGTTCCTGACCTTGTATTTCAGACGGTCGTCAGGTCAACGCAGGTCAGGATCAAATGTTGGTGGTAGCAGAACAAGCGGCAAAAGACCGGTTGTTAAGACAGCTTCTAGACGGACCTCTCAAGTGCTCATCAATAAAACTCTCAATACCAACAGGTTCATTTGGTTAGAATTAATTGGTTTCATTAGGTAGAAATAAATATTAATTTACTAACTTTCGGTACTTGTCATCTAAGTCATTTAATTTCGCGAGTGTCTTTAAAATGTTATTTTTTTGAACGATAGATATTACTTAGGTCGAAGAAGAGTCGCATTCAGCCCATAGAGGAGTCACCATCGTCCGATAACTTTGCTGTAAGTAATTGAAAGTATTTGACGGATTTAAATTGGTGATACTCAAATAGATGATACCTGTCAGTTCATGTATATCTGATCATTCTTTACAAAAATTTATGGATTATGGATCAGTCGGAGGAGTCTGGAGGGGTAATCATGGATGGGAGAGCTTACATCAAGATCTTGAACCAAGTCCTCCAGCCTTCACAGTTCTTGTAAATTTGTGTAACAGGCCATTTTCGGAGAAACTAAATTCTCGATTTTACAGACTCCAGGATCCGTCGGTGTGAAGAGAAAAGCTACTTTAAAAGGATTGAAAGATTTGCTTACTGGTTCATCGCCCAGACAATCCAAGCGAGGTAATAACTTAATTATGAATTTTGTATAGTTTTAATTACGGTAAATAATTAATCGATTCTTGTTCCCATTTTTCTGTCAGGGATAGTAATTTTTGAATACGTGATAGTGGTTACAGTTTGATTCAGGTGGACTATACTAATTTAGATTTTAACCTTGAAGGAGGCGGTTATCATGTACAATGTACTTATATTGTTCTTTTAACACTGGACATTTCCAGGAAAAGCTGCTCCTATCTCCGTATCAGAAAGTGACAGCGACTTCGCAACGCCTTCACAACCTGAGCCAAAAAGAGGCAAACGAAAGCTCCACAAATCTCAGATCAGTACACCGGAGCTGATCCCTCCGCCGGAGCGGCCTGGACTAAGGGACGTCGTCCCGGACACACCGGACACCGATACTAAGATCACTCGCTCCCGGACCAAGCTCATTCAGGAGCACCTCAGCGGGAAGAATCTTAGGAAAACAAGAAGTAGGGCAACCAGGATATAAAGACATAAGAAATAAGAGGGTTGTTACATAAACTGTCCCAGATAGAAAGTGCTAGGTTGGAATATCATGCCATGATCGAACAATGTTTTCAGTTTTAGTGAATTTGATTTAAGCCAATAATTATCGTGAGTGTCGTAGATTCCTAACAGGCCCATTTGAAGCTTCAGAATGATATTGATTCTTAGATTAGCGCATGCGTTTATCAATTTCACATAATATTAATATTAGTAAAACCTAGTCACTCTACATAGTATTTTTGACTATTTTTGTTTAATCTTTCTGGATTTCTAAAATCAGCTATAGACGGTAGACCGATCAGAAAATTGAACCGTATGCCAACAATCTTAACCTATTAGAAGCTTAGATTTTAGTGAATTAAACTACAATTTGTTTGTCCCTTGCAAACTTACCCTGCTAGTAGTGTATGATATTCAGATGACCTGTACTCATAGCTTTGGTAAGAGTGATTAAAGTAAGATTAAAATGGTGTATTTTGTGACTGAAACAGTTTTTAAATTTATCTTACATTATATTTGATCTAACTTTTCCTCTTTATTATCCCCCTAATGTTACTATTTATTGATTGCAAAATTTGTATAGTTCATTCAAATGATGCCATTCTATTACTTGATTTCAAATACAAAATAGTTGCCTCACGTTGTACTTGTAGGCCTGCCGAGTGTGCGGCTGTATCGTGACTTTCAATAAGTGAAACGACAATGGGGGTCACGACGTGATAGTGATACAAAAAAAATAGCTGATTACTGTGAGCGTCAGTTTCTTTATAAAAAATTCCGAAGCTCAAATGTAGAGTGATTTAACGCTCTTTTTTGTAGGTTTACAACCTACCAGGACACGCGCCGAGTTGGACTTGTCGACGGTCCATAATATATGGAACAAATTTTTCACGAGTATCACCCGTTAAATAATCTTTTGATGAAACAACTCTTAATTTGTAATTTGAAGAATTTTTTATTTAAAATCTACCACTGCACTTTTATGTTAAGTTGTTAATGTAAAATACTTTTGCTCCCAAATCTTTATATATGACTATGAGTAAGCTGCGGGATTGTGAAAGTTTAAGTAAGCTATACCAATTAAGTTTTTACGCTGATTTCGAATAAAACCGGATGATGACAGATGATTAATCACTCTACACTCGACTGTCACTGGTCACGCGACTTTTTAAACACGTCGTCGCTAGCAGCTAGGTTAACGGGTGATACTCTTAAAATGTTTGTTCGACAAGTCCAACTCGGCGCGCGTCCTGGTAGGTTATTGTATCACGTGGCGACCCCACTGTCGCTTCACTATAGTGTAGAGTTTCGACGATACAGGGGGAGACGATACGGGGGGGGGGGGGGGCGCGCACTCGTGCGCGACGGGTCATACAACGTATGAACGTATGAGTATGACAAGTAGGTTATAAACTTTCTCTAACCAGAGCCCTCTCGCTTGCAGTAGCGGGCGACCGCCGAAACAAGCAGTACGCGTAGACACATGGCTATATGAAGTTATAAACCTACAATCGCTAGGTGGCTCTGAATAACTATTCGAAACCCTAACTAAAACTAAACACTTTGATTGACGATGTCAATCCTTTGCATCTCGCCGATCTGCATACGGTGGTTGTGAAAAGCATTATTGGATGCGCGCGCGGCCCGGCCCAGTAGTGCATCGCGCTTCAACTAAACACTGCACACTACAATCTGATCCCTAACTAGAACTGAAGCATATGCTGATTGCTGAAACCCTATGCCGTAAGACGCGCGCGCTGACCATTGAATGGTTTTTAGTTGATTGACGATGTCAACCCATCGAGATCGTTTGTTCTAACCAGAGCCCTCTCGCTTGCAGTAGCGTGCGACCGCTTGTGAAACAAGCGCGTTACGCAGTACGCGTATACACATGGCTATGTGAACGAGAGCACGTGGCTCTGCTAGTTCGGGCGGCGCTTCGAAGCGGCGAAATCTCAAGTCCTCCAAGGTTTTTAGCTTTTATTCCGGCCAAGCAACAACTTGTAGGTTTATAACCTACCAGGACGCGCGCCGAGTTGGAACAAATATTTTACGAGTATCATCCGTTAGGCGTTAAGCAGCAACAAGCATATTATTTCGAAAACAATCAAAAAGTTATAATACTTCCAATATTGCCATTGGAAGGGGTTGCATTGGCCAATGCATTGCAATGCACCCTTATAATAAAAAATTATAATACTTCCCTATTAAAGTTAAAGTGCACAAATCTGTAGTAATCTGTATATACTATTTTCACAATTACTTTAACACCAAAACTGACTCGAATCCTAAAGCATAAACAACTGAAATATATCGTTTTACAAGCCTGTCACCTGCGCACGTCTGACAAAAATGGTTATTTGCTCATAACTCGTAAAAAATGATTTTCGTGCGCGCTAAGCTATAAGTAAGTATAGGTTATAAGTTTGATTCACGATATCAATCCTTCGCAGCTCGGTGAGGCACAGTGGTGCATATCGCCGATCTACCGAAGGTTGCGAGAAAAATTATTTGATGCGAGGCGCGACCCAGTAGTGCATCGCGCTACAAGTTATAAGTTGCTCTAACCAGAGCCCTCTCGCTTGAAGTAGCACGCGACCGCCGTAGGCGTATACACATGGCTATGTGAAAGTTATAAGTAATAGGTTTATTCGAAATCAGCATATAACAAAGTACTTTTTAGAATCATCGCATCAGTGAGTACACATGGTACAGTTTACCTGGGGACCCCAGGCTATTATGTTCATTAACATAACCGAATAAAGATTAGGCGGAATGACAGGCTGAGCGCGGCCCAGTAAGGTACAGTTACAGTTTCATTTACCTTACTCGGGAATATTATGACTGGGATAAACTTAAAGTAGTGTGTGGTGGGTTTTGGAAAATGCCGCCATATTTTCCCGGTCATTAATTTTCCCAGTCATAAATTAACCCGCTATAATGTTCCTTGTATCACGTTGCGACCCCCACGGTCGTTTCGCTATATCGTCCTGGCGATACAGGGGGAGTCGCGCACTCGTGCGCGGCGGGTCCGGGGTCATACAACGTATGACAAAATGTTCCCGAGTAAGGTCAACTAATAGTAATAAATTTTGATGCTTGGTGGGTTTTGGAAAATTCCGCCATATTTTTCCCGGTCATTAATTTTCCCAGTCATAAATTAACCCACTTTAATATTCCCGAGTAAGGTAAATGCCATTGAAGGTGCGCGGCTTTTGGAGCAAAAGCTGTAGGTCTAAAAGTCGCGTAATTTGACGAAAATCGTTGATTTTTGTTTTGGCACTTGGAGAACTTCACTGCTTCGACGCGCCCTGCAAACTAGCATTCTTGCTTCGCATCGTTGATCGTTGCTCTGCAAAGCAGAGCATGAGCAACGATCTCGATGGGTTGACATTGTCAATCAAATTTTTGTCGTATTATTCTGTCATATTTTCGGTTCCTTAAATGAGATCATTTTGAATATTTGTGAAGACCTTCCAAACTAATTTAGGTTCAGTAGAACATAAGTGTTTACTTGATTCACAATGTCAATCCTTCGCATCTCGCCAATCTGCATACGTGTGGTTGCGAGAAGATGCGCGGTGCGGCCCAGTAGTGCATAGCGCTACAAGTGTTTATGTAAGCTGACCAAATTTGTAACAAAGTTGTTATAATTTGGTTATAATACTTACCATAAAAATCAAAATTAGCATTTTCAAATGTACACAGAACGGTTCAAATATAATCGCCACCGAAGTGGTGTGATGTTTCTGCTTCTCCTAGAAAGTGTTCACAATCTTGCGTCTCGAAGTTGACGTTGTTTTCCACGTTCTGAAATTAAACTTGTCCATTGTTAATGGACTAACCCGTGGCGCTACTTCGAAGAAATTTAGACGAGTAACATCCGTCAAAGAGTAAACTAGTGGGCTGTGACCTATTTGGACACAGGCCATGTTAACCATCTGATGTGAGTTCCAAAAAAAGTTCCTGTATTTGTATTTGTGGAGGAACATCTCAAGTGGGATTTTCCTTTGTCACTGAGTGTGGCCTATTTAACTCGTAAAATATTTGTTTCGCGCACACGCGCGCGAGGATTACTTGCGGAAATGTGGTGTATAGCTAGTCTGTGGTCAATCAATGCGCGGCACGAGCGTATTTTAATGTATACTAGTAATGTATAGTATTTTGTAATAAGCCCAACTTGAACTTGGCACGCGTAGTGACAGTGTACTGATGTTTCAATATTATTATTATAAGGTGAGCTGATTAGAGCTTATATTAATAGTTATAGTGAAATGGAAATCTAGCGTCCGCCAAAACGAAACAACGGGCGCAATTCTTGTTATCATATAACGTTGAGTTAAAAAGTTGTTTCCAAATTTTGCGTAATGTATTTCTTAAAAGTTTAATGTATGTCCTATTTGCATCCCAAAGAGTTCCCATTGCATCGTTGTTTATTCCTGATTTGGTTAGCTTTGCGTCTCAGAATTAAAGAGGTCTGCTATGCTTTAGTGTTTAGAGAGCTCTGCTGTCCACCTAACTAGGTAGATCTTTAGATATAAGGGTTCCCCGTGTAATGGGACAAGCTGTGTTAAAGCTTCTCTTCAGGATGTCCGAGATGAACTGTTTTCGAGCATTGAGATCTTCCGCTGTAGAAACTGATTAAAACCAGTAAGGGTGTCAGTCAAACTCTGACATCATCAAATGTGATGGCCTAAAAATGATCCCTTGTGTGTTAGCTGTCTAGCTGAGAAGACCTGAAAAGTGGTTACTGGAGGAAGAAGTGCTCATTATCAGTGTGTCTTTGTAGTCAGAATGAACGAATTGGGATCCCTAGCTCTGTGGTGGGTGACTTCGATGGGGGACCTGAAAGATGAAAGAGAATTTCCTAGTGGTTTAATGGCTCTTAGAGCTAGGTTCCTGGTTCATCTAGGGAGGTTTGAGTTGGCAATTCCTGACCTTTGCGGATTTCGTGACCCTTGAAACAAATGCATATTATATTTGGTAACCTTCCCTCGCCTCAATCCTTAACGGGTGATCCTCGTAAAATAGTTATTCCAGAATTAAGTATCACCCGTCTAGTCAAATAAAAGCTTGAAGCAACACTGTTTGCTCACACTCTCTAAAAAACAATTATGGTACAACAATTTTGAAAATCCGAGTAAGTTTATTTTTATTGTGCACCTTTTACAATTATTGGTTTTGAAATTTCAGTAAAGTCTCTGATCACTGAAGATGGCACAAGACATGATTGAGGACTGAGGTACTCAAAGTTCTATTCCTAAAGAAAGCTTTGATAAACGTAACGGAAAATCATCAGAATATAAAAAGAGATTTTTGTAGACATAAGCTACCTACAAAGATCATGTCTGTCAAAAAGTAGTGACACACATGCGCTAACTACGAATTTAGGCCAGAGGAGGGGGGGGGGGGGGGAGTAAATTGTCATTTTTCGAGTTTTCACATATGTGATTGAGCTGCTGGAGATGAACAAGTAGAAACAAACCGCATAAAAATCTGACCTTGCGTTGCTGAGATCTTATAAATATCGAATTTGAGGTAAAGTTAACCTCATATTTTAAGAACAGAGGTAAATATCAAAATTATGTACAATATA